TTAGTGGTGTTTGAGTTTGATTTTAAAATTTTAAGAACGGAAAGTGAATCGGAAAAGATTATAGCATTCTGATCCTCTTTCTGATAAACATATTCTAGTGCTTTTAGAATTGCTATTGCCTCAGCTGTGAAAATAGATGTGTTTTTGTTTAACTTGTATTTTTTCTGTATACGTTTAGGTATTACGAAAGCGCAACCTGTACCATCGGTGTTTTTTGATCCATCAGTGTATATAGTGACGTAATTTGGATGTTCCTCTAAAATTTGATTTATGACTATACTATTAAATGATGCTAAATCCGAATAAAGTGGTATATTCACATCACAGGAAACAAGGTGATCAAAATAGTCGGTCTCTAACTTTGTTTGTGGTTTAAAGGCCACGTTTCTTAATCCATCACAAATAGGAGGAGAGTGTTTATGAATCCAAAAAGGCTTAGTTAGGTCGTATTCGTTTAATTTATACATGCTGCTAATGAATGGTGAGTTTTTCTTTAGCGACTTAATAATCATTTTTTCAGCTAAAAATGATCTTCTCAGTTCTAATGGAGGTTCGATTGCTTCAGCTCTTAACGGTTCAACTGGTGTAGATTTCATTGCTCCCAGACATATTCTGAGTGATTTGTTTTGTATAATATCCAGCTTACGTAGATTTGTTTTATTGGCTGTTCCATAGAGTGTACAACCATAGTCAATTATTGATCTTATGTAAGCTTTATAGAAGAGTAGAGCTGTTTGAGGTTCTGCACCCCACCAAGTTCGCATAATTGATTTTAAAAAGTTTAGCCCTTTATTGCATTTTGTCTCTATTTGTTCAATATGAAGTTTCCAGGTTAATTTTCTGTCTAATGTGATTCCCAAGTATTTGACATTGGTATCCACCGGAAATTCTATACCATCTATTGTAATTTTCTGCATCGGTTTCATGTTATGCCTGGTGAAAATTATAACTTTGGATTTTTCTGCGGAGATTTGAAGCCCTAAATTACTTAGAGAGCTTAAAACAAGTTTCGTGCCTAAATTCAAACGATTAATGCATTCGTCGAGATGTTTGCTACGTGTATAAACAACAAAATCATCGGCATATTGTATAATAGTTGCTTTAGGTATAGAGGTGTGTAAATTAGTAGTATATATATTAAAAAGTAATGGTGCAAGGACTGATCCTTGTGGCAGACCTAAATTTGCAGTTTGGTATCTTACTGGGCACCTATAATGTCCTCTGAGCCCTACTTGTCTGTTTATATATAATTTGCATATCGTGTTGCCAACTTCTTGAGGGATTTGTAATTGTATCATTTTTTCCCGTAAGATGAACCAGTTGACATTGTCGTAGGCACCTTTCACATCTAGAAACATCGTTCCATTATACTCGTTATCAGTTAAACCTATTTGTATGTCTGTAACTAGGTGTGTCACCGCATCTATGGTACCAAAACCTTTTTTAAAACCATATTGTGTAGTTGGCACAGCGCCGGTTGTATTTAACCACCATTCCAATCGGTTTTTAATTATTCTTTCAAAAACCTTGAGTATACAGGGCATAAGTGCAATAGGTCTATATGAGTCACACAGGTGGGGGTCTTTGTTTGATTTGTGTATTGGTATTACAATAGCCTTTTTCCATTCTTCTATTCTTTCCCCATTGATCCAGATATCATTTAGAATTTTGATTAGAAACATCTTGGCATTGTTTGGTAATTGGAATATCATAGGATATCTAATATCATCATATCCAGGTGATGTATTCTTTCTGTTTTTTATGATATAATTTAATTCTGTTAAGCAGATTGGTTGACTAAAAATTTTATGGTTGGTGTTATTTTGTTGTTGTTTTGAGAAAATGTGTGAGGTATCACCCATAGCATTAGCTGGTGTAATTTTATCTAAAAATTGTTCTTGCCATTCATAATTATCCGATGTATTACCTTTCCTATATATCCTATTCATTTTTCTGGCCTGAGTCCATATGTTTGTCAATGGTATATTTATATTTAAGTTTTCGCACCAGAGCTGCCAATGTAGATTAGCTTTAATTTTTAAAAACTTTTTTGTTCTTGAAATTTCGTTTTTACATTTGACATAATTTTCCGTAGTGCTTTGTTGCTTATACGTGTTGAGCATTTGTTTTCTTTTTTTTAATAGCCTCTTCACAGCTTTGATCCCACCATGGTGGAAGAGGAGTTTTTTTGTTCGGTGTAAAGGGTTGGTAAATGGGTATAGAGGCATTGGCTGCCTTATTTATCCCTTCAATTAATAAGCTATAATTATCTTCCGCGTTACTGCTATTTTTAATGTGTTGTGAGAAATAGTTATTCGCAACTTCTTGATATAGAGTCCAATCTGCTTTATTCAAATTCCATTTTGTTTTTGGGTGTATTATGATATCTTTACTTTCCATGCCTTTGTTAATTTCTATAATAATTGGAAAATGGTCTGAACCCAGTACATCAGGTAAAGTTTCCCATGCACAATTAATTGCTATATCTGGAGTTGCAAAAGTTAAATCCACGACTGAATTATTCCCGTTATTGGTGAACCTTGTAGGTGATCCGGTGTTTAAAAGTACTAGCTCCGTATTGTCTGAAGCGGTTATAATTTGCGTGCCTTTGGTGTTACTTTTGTATGATCCCCATGTTGAATGATGCTCATTGAAATCACCTCAAAATATACTATTTGACTTGGTACAGTTAAGAATTGCGTCCCAATCGGCAGTTGTTGTTCGTATATCAGGTGGGCAGTATAGAGAGAAACATGTTAGCGTTATTTCACTGTTATTCAATATTTGTATACCACACGTTAAAATATTTTCATTAAAATTTTTCCTAATTGGAATTTCTTTAAAACAAAATACATTTCTAACAAGAATTGCCACACCTGCATAGCCATCATTTCTATCTTTACGAATAATATTATAACCTTTGAAATTATATTGTTTATCTGGCTTAAACCATGTTTCTGAAATTAAGGCAATATCGATTATGTTTTCATTTAGACATTTAAGTAAACTCAGTTTATTGGCTACAGCCGATTGCGCATTCCATTGTAAAATCTTTATTTTATTTTTTATTTTATTAGCCATTACTTAAATTTAATAAAATTGTTAATTTTATCATAAATGTATGCTTTATCTAACTTTTCTAAATCGCTAAAAGAATCAAACTCTTCGAGTACACTTTTAAAAATATTGAAAAATACGTTTATAAATTCATCCGTATTAGGATCAGGATTGGCACTGTGTAAAATATTTGAGGGAAGAGGTCTTTTTGGACCAAATTCAAAAGGAAACATAGGTTGGTAAGGGGGATTGGGCTTTTCTTTTTTTGAAATGTGAAGAAGTTTCAGGTTGATTTGGAGGTACTTTTTGTGTTTGTTTTTGGGTATTGGATGAGGATGGTTTAGGTATATGTTTGATGTTAGTTTGACTTGGAAGAGGTGGAAAGCTTTCGTTGTTTAGCATACCTAATACTTCAAAACTATTCCTCGTACTAACAGCAGATGTGTAAGAGTTTTTTAGACTGTCCTTTGCTTCTAAGAATGTTAAATTTTTTTCGGCCATATGTCTTTTAATGTCGTTTTGTTCTTTAAATTTTGGACATTGTTTGGAAATGGATTTATGTTCATAATTTTTACAATGTATACAATAACTGTCTTGTGGGTCTCTACAGTTATGATCATCGTTTTTCTCTTGTCCGCAGTTAATACATCTGGTTTGTGTACTGTTGCAATTACGAAATATGTGTCCATGTTGCAAGCATTTGAAGCATTGTATAACTCTATGCAAATAGGGTTCTACAGAACAGGCAACACTGTTTATATATACATATCTGGGTAAAATGTTTCCTTCAAAAGTGAGTAATACCATTTGTCTGGGGACATATACTTTTTCTCCATTTAAGTCAATTTTCCTTTTGAGTCGAGTGACTTCCGTTACTGTTATATTCGATATTATATTATCAAAAAGATATTGTTCATTAAAAGTAGTATCTACGTTTCTTATTATGCCTTTTCGTTGAAGCAAATTATTTGGGATATATGCTTTTAGTTGTTCCTCTTTTAAATTTTCATTTTGTACTAAATTATTTGCATCTTTGGGGCTTTTAACTTGTACTCTTACCCTATTCTTCCCTACTCTGTCAATACTAAGAATATTCTTGATTGCTAATTTTTTATGTAAAATATGACCTACCTTCATAGGATGTAGTTTGCCAATATTTTCTTCATTTGTTTTTTCAATGAATACATATACCTTATCCGTATAGAGATATCCTTTTTGGAGATTAAACAGCTTAATTCCTTTTTCCTGTTCCTTGGTTTGTGGGCATTCTTCCACTTGGTCCATATTTTGGGTCCCCCCTTTATCAGGGGGGAGTTTTCATCCATTTTTGTAAACTACCACTACATACACACAAACAAAAACAATAACAAACACTTAAATAAACACAAAAACTGGGTTTATTTGCCCGGAGCGAAATTGGTTTATTATTGATAGTCACAAAAAACTGGTCTTAATCAATATTTAAGCACCTGTAAATATACGTGTTCTCTCTATGAATGATCGAACAAGACTGCACACTTAAATGATTTTTCATGCACTGAGATATGTTGTGTGAAATATCTCTTTGTAGAAAATTGTTGGGTGCAAATTTTACAATTTTGGTGCAATTTGCTAAAGACGTGCATCTCAGTATGTACTTCCATTTTCTATTATCACGCAATCATTTTGTTTTTTGGGACTAATAGTGTATAATATAATGGAATAAAACTTAATATGTGTATAATTATAGAATGTGACTTATGCACATAAATTTCCCTTATCGGGAAAAAGTAGTTTTAAGTAATTCCGTGCTATAAAATAATTGTCTGGATAAATTATTTATCAACTCACTTATGATACAAATACAAGTTTACCTAATTGAAAATTAGTTTCAACATCACAAGAAGTCAACCCTAGGCTGGGTTCTTTTAGGTTATGGAAATCGTAATAAAAAAAGCATTCTTGTGTGATATCTATTAATTGTATAAGTAAACATATTCAAAAGCAATTAAATTTCAACTGTTATTTTGAAGCCAACAACGGCAAATAGATATAAAATTAGAGGGGCCAATGAAAAATATTCAAAAGAGTTCAACAATGCAGCACTATCCAAAGCTGATTCTCGATGTGTGTCTGTTGGATACTGTCAATAATCCGGTGGATCTCACAAATCCCAATGGAGCTACTCACCAATTTGAATTTGCAAATGTGGATTTAAATCGGAATTATATGAAAATTGTTTACATCAGTATGCACTCTCAAATGCGATTTTAAAAAAAAATTTCGTTGAAAACTGTATACAAATTTTACATCTTAATGGTTTTTCATGATTATGCACTGCCAAATGTCTTTTTAAACATTCCTTTTTTCCGTCTTTCACCAGTATGCTGTCTCATATGTGATTTTAAATATACCTTCATTGAAAACTGTTTAGTACAAATTTCACATTCAAATGGTTTTTCACCAGTATGCACTCTCATATGTGTTGTTAAATAACACTTGCTTGAAAATTGTTTAGTGCAAATTTCACATTCAAATGGTTTTTCACCAGTATGAACGGTCATATGCAATTTTAAAACTTGTTTCGTTGAAAATTGTTTGGTGCAAATTTCACATTGAAATGGTTTTTTCACCAGTATGCACCCTAATATGCGATTTTAAAACTTGTTTCGATGAAAATTGTTTGGTGCAAACTTCACATTTAAATGGTTTTTCACCAGTATGTACTCGCATATGCGATTTTAAATAAAAATATATTGGAAACTGCTTGGTACAAATTCCACATGTAAATGATTTTTCATCAGAATGCAATTTCATATGTGTTGTTAAATAATACTTGCTTGAAAATTGTTTAGTGCAAATTTCACATTCAAATGGTTTTTCACCAGTATGCACACTCATATGCGATTTTAAAAGTTGTTTCCTGGAAAATTGTTTAGTACAAATTTCACATTTAAATTGTTTTTCACCAGTATGCACTCTCATATGTGTTGTTAAATAATCCTTGCTTGAAAATTGTTTATTGCAAATTTCACATTCAAATGGTTTTTCACCAGTATGCACACTCATATGCGATTTTAAAACTTGTTTCGATGAAAATTGTTTGGTGCAAACTTCACATTTAAATGGTTTTTCACCAGTATGTACTCGCATATGCGATTTTAAATAAAAATATATTGGAAACTGCTTGGTACAAATTCCACATGTAAATGATTTTTCATCAGAATGCAATTTCATATGTGTTGTTAAATAATACTTGCTTGAAAAATGTTTAGTGCAAATTTTACATTCAAATGGTTTTTCACCAGTATGCACACTCATATGCGATTTTAAAAGTTGTTTCCTGGAAAATTGTTTAGTGCAAATTTCACATTTAAATGGTTTTTCATCAGTATGAACGGTCATATGCATTTCTAAAACTTGTTTCGATGAAAATTGTTTGGTGCAAATTACACATTGAAATGGTTTTTCACAAGTATGCACCCTGATATGCGATTTTAAAACTTGTTTCGATGAAAATTGTTTGGTGCAAATTTCACATTTAAATGGTTTTTCACCAGTATGTACTCGCATATGCGATTTTAAATAAAAATATATTGGAAACTGCTTGGTACAAATTCCACATGTAAATGATTTTTCATCAGTATGCAATTTCATATGTATTCTTAAACATCTCTTGCTTGAAAATTTTTTGGGGCAAATTTCACATTTAAATTGTTTTTCACCAGTATGCACACTCATATGTGTTGTTAAATAACACTTGCTTGAAAATTGTTTAGTGCAAATTTCACATTCAAATGGTTTTTCACCAGTATGCACACTCATGTGCGATTTTAAAAGTCGTCTCCTGGAAAATTGTTTAGTACAAATTTCACACTTAAATTGTTTTTCACCAGTATGCACTATCATATGTGTTGTTAAATAACACTTGCTTGAAAATTGTTTAGTGCAAATTTCACATTTAAATGGTTTTTCACCAGTATGCACACTCATATGCGATTTTAAAAGTTGTCTCCTGGAAAATTGTTTAGTGCAAATTTCACACTTAAATAATTTTTCATGTCCATAGATATGTTGGGTTAAAAATTGTTTCCTGGAAAATTGTTTGGTGCAAATTTCACATTTAAATGGTTTTTCATCAGTATGAACGGTCATATGCATTTCTAAAACTTGTTTCGATGAAAATTGTTTGGTGCAAATTTCACATTGAAATGGTTTTTCACCAGTATGCACTCTCATATGTGTTGTTAAATAACACTTGCTTGAAAATTGTTTAGTGCAAATGTCACATTCAAATGGTTTTTCACCAGTATGCACACTCATGTGCGATTTTAAAAGTGGTCTCCTGGAAAATTGTTTAGTGCAAATTTCACACTTAAATAATTTGTCATGCACTGAGATATGTTGTGTCAAATATCTCTTTGTTGAAAATTGTTTGGTGCAAATTTCACATTCAAATAGTTTTTCACCAGTATGCAGTTTCATATGCGATTTTAAAGTTTTTTTTGTTGAAAGCTGTTTGGTGCAAATTTCACATTGAAATGGTTTTTCACCAATATGCACCCTGATATGCGATTTTAAAACTTGTTTCGATGAAAATTGTTTGGTGCAAATTTCACATTTAAATGGTTTTTCACCAGTATGCACTCGCATATGCGATTTTAAATAAAAATATATTGGAAACTGCTTGGTACAAATTCCACATTTAAATGATTTTTCATCAGTATGCAATTTCATATGTATTTTTAAATAACTCTTGGTTGAAAATTTTTTGGGACAAATTTCACATTTAAATTGTTTTTCACCAGTATGCACACTCATATGCGATTTTAAAGCTTGTTTTGTTGAAAGCTGTTTCTTGCAAATTTCACATTTAAATGATTTTTCATCAGTATGCAATTTCATATGTATTGTTAAATAACTCTTGGTTGAAAATTGTTTGGTGCAAATTTCACATTTAAACGATTTTTCATCAGTATGCACTAGCATATGATGTGTTAAGTACTTCTTTGTTGAAAATTGTTTGGTGCAAATTCCATATTCAAACGGTTTTTCCCCAGTGTGTATCTTCATATGTAGTTCTAAACGATAATGGTTTGAGAGTGGTTTGTTGCAAATGATACATATAAAATGTTTTCCTTCAGTGTTACCATTGGAATTGGTAGTGGAAGTTATACATTGGTTGAAATTACTGTCACTTCTGTCTTGATGTGTTAAAAAGGTACTGGCATCAGCTTTCATATCTTTAAAAGGGAAACCTAAAATTATAATCCTCTGTTAAATTAATACAATGCAACTAAATGAGAAATACTATTTTACTATTAAAAAATTACGTATTTGTGTGTTATATACTGCTCCAAGAAATTAACGCAAAAATTATTATTATTTTTAAAATTATTGCGAATTTAAATAAATTGTAAAAATTATTTTACATTTTGAAAGACCCTTGTGTAATTTTTATTTTAACGACAAAAGACAATGACACTGGCAAGTTTTTGCTGTTGATTTTTTACGTCATCGGTTATTTTGTTTCAGTTTCTTAAATGGTAAATCGATTTTAAGTCAGTTTGAGTTTTGATTTTTACGCGTTTCGGAATTCTTTTGCTTGAAGTGTTATGATGTAATGAGTTCTTCCAGAGATTATGGGTGAGCACTCTATAAGTAAGGAGCCTTAATTAATGAGTTCTTACAATTTATTGAAACTAGGACAAAACTTGTTGACAACTGTGGTATTTGGTGGAGTAGGTACTTTGTTTAATCCGAATTTTAAGGATATTACATCAAAGCTAAAAAAAATATTGAAATAAAAGACAATTCCCATCGAGAACGATTTTTTCATTTTTCAATTGTCGTTAATTACTTATCTTCATTCATATTATATTATCACATATTACATATCTACTTATGTGCCACATTCATATGCAATTTTAAAAGTGGTCTTCTGGAAAATTGTTTAGTGCAAATTTCACACTTAAATGATTTTTCATGCACTGAGATATGTTGTGTGAAATATCTCTTTGTAGAAAATTGTTGGGTGCAAATTTTACAATTTTGGTGCAATTTGCTAAAGACGTGCATCTCAGTATGTACTTCCATTTTCTATTATCACGCAATCATTTTGTTTTTTGGGACTAATAGTGCATAATATAATGGAATAAAACTTAATATGTGTATAATTATAGAATGTGACTTATGCACATAAATTTTCCTTATCGGGAACAAGTAGTTTTAAGTAATTCCGTGCTATAAAATAATTGTCTGGATAAATTATTTATCAATTCACTTATGATACAAATACATGTTTACCTAATTGAAAATTAGTTTCAACATCACAAGAAGTCAACCATAGGCTGGGTGAATGTTCTTTTAGGTTATGGAAATCGTAATAAAAAAAAGCATTCTTGTGTGATATCTATTAATTGTATCAGTAAACATATTCAAAAGCAATTAAATTTCAACTGTTATTTTGAAGCCAACAACGGCAAATAAATATAAAATTAGAGGGGCCAATGAAAAATATTCAAAAGAGTTCAACAATACAGCACTATCCAAAGCTGACTCGATGTGTATCTGTTGGATACTGTCAATAATCCGGCGGATCTCACAAATCCCAATGGAGATACTCACCAGTTTGAGTTTACATATGTGGATTTAAACCGGAATTATATGAAAATTTTTTACATCAATATGCACTCTAACATGCGATTTTAAAAGTGGTTTCGATGAAAACTGTATACAAATTTTACATCTCAATGGTTTTTCATGATTATGCACTGCCAAATGTCTTTTTAAACATTCCTTTTTCTCCGTCTTTCACCAGTATGCTGTCTCATATGTGATTTTAAATATACCTTCATTGAAAACTGTTTAGTACAAATTTCACATTCAAATGGTTTTTCACCAGTATGCACTCTCATATGTGTTGTTAAATAACACTTGCTTGAAAATTGTTTAGTGCAAGTTTCACATTCAAATGGTTTTTTACCAGTATGAACGGTCATATGCAATTTTAAAACTTGTTTGGTTGAAAATTGTTTGGTGCAAATTTCACATTGAAATGGTTTTTCACCAGTATGCACCCTAATATGCGATTTTAAAACTTGTTTCGATGAAAATTGTTTGGTGCAAATTTCACATTTAAATGGTTTTTCACCAGTATGTACTCGCATATGCGATTTTAAATAAAAATATATTGGAAACTGCTTGGTACAAATTCCACATGTAAATGATTTTTCATCAGAATGCAATTTCATATGTGTTGTTAAATAATACTTGCTTGAAAATTGTTTAGTGCAAATTTCACATTCAAATGGTTTTTCATCAGTATGCACACTCATATGCAATTTTAAAAGTTGTCTCCTGGAAAATTGTTTAGTACAAATTTCACATTTAAATTGTTTTTCACCAGTATGCACTCTCATATGTGTTGTTAAATAATCCTTGCTTGAAAATTGTTTAGTGCAAATTTCACATTCAAATGGTTTTTCACCAGTATGCACACTCATATGCGATTTTAAAAGTTGTCTCCTGGAAAATTGTTTAGTGCAAATTTCACATTTAAATTGTTTTTCACCAGTATGCACTCTCATGTGTGTTGTTAAATAACACTTGCTTAAAAATTGTTTAGTGCAAATTTCACATTTAAATGGTTTTTCATCAGTATGAACGGTCATATGCAATTTTAAAACTTGTTTCGTTGAAAATTGTTTGGTGCAAATTTCACATTTAAATGGTTTTTCATCAGTATGAACGGTCATATGCAATTTTAAAACTTGTTTCGTTGAAAATTGTTTGGTGCAAATTTCACATTGAAATGGTTTTTCACCAGTATGCACCCTGATATGCGATTTTAAAACTTGTTTCGATGAAAATTGTTTGGTGCAAATATCACATTTAAATGGTTTTTCACCAGTATGTACTCGCATATGCGATTTTAAATAAAAATATATTGGAAACTGCTTGGTACAAATTCCACATGTAAATGATTTTTCATCAGTATGCAATTTCATATGTATTCTTATATAACTCTTGGTTGAAAATTTTTTGGGGCAAATTTCACATTTAAATTGTTTTTCACCAGTATGCACACTCATATGTGTTATTAAATAACACTTGCTTGAAAATTGTTTAGTGCAAATTTCACATTTGAATGGTTGTTCACCAGTATGCACACTCATATGCGATTTTAAAAGTTGTCTCCTGGAAAATTGTTTAGTACAAATTTCACATTTAAATTGTTGTTGACCAGTATGCACTCTCATATGTGTCGTTAAATAACACTTGCTTGAAAATTGTTTAGTGCAAATTTCACATTCAAATGGTTTTTCACCAGTATGCACACTCATATGCGATTTTAAAAGTTGTCTCCTGGAAAATTGTTTAGTGCAAATTTCACACTTAAATAATTTTTCATGCCCATAGATATGTTGGGTTAAAAATTGTTTCCTGGAAAATTGTTTGGTGCAAATTTCACATTTAAATGGTTTTTCATCAGTATGAACGGTCATATGCATTTCTAAAACTTGTTTCGATGAAAATTGTTTGGTGCAAATTTCACATTGAAATGGTTTTTCACCAGTATGCACTCTCATATGTTTTGTTAAATAACGCTTGCTTGAAAATTGTTTAGTGCAAATTTCACATTCAAATGGTTTTTCACCAGTATGCACACTCATATGCGATTTTAAAAGTGGTCTCCTGGAAAATTGTTTAGTGCAAATTTCACACTTAAATAATTTGTCATGCACTGAGATATGTTGTGTCAAATATCTCTTTGTTGAAAATTGTTTAGTGCAAATTTCACATTCAAATAGTTTTTCACCAGTATGCAGTTTCATATGCAATTTTAAAGTTTTTTTTGTTGAAAGCTGTTTGGTGCAAATTTCACATTTAAATGATTTTTCATCAGTATGCAATTTCATATGTATTGTTAAATAATTCTTGGTTGAAAATTGTTCGGTGCAAATTTCACATTTAAACGATTTTTCACCGGTATGCACCAGCATATGTTGTGTTAAGTACTTCTTGGTTGAAAATTGTTTGGTGCAAATTTCACATTCAAACGGTTTTTCCCCAGTGTGTATCCTCATATGTAGTTCTAAACGATAATTGGTTGAGAAGGGTTTGTTGCAAATGATACATATAAAATGTTTTATTTCAGTGTTCACATTGGAATTGGTAGTGGAAGTTATACATTGGTTGAAATTACTGTCACTTCTGTCTTGATGTGTTAAAAAGGTACTGGCATCAGCTTTCATATCTTTAAAAGGGAAACCTAAAATTATAATCATCAGTTAAATTAACACAATGCAACTAAATGAGAAATACTATTGTACTAGTAAAAAATTACGTATTTGTGTGGTACATACAGCTCCAAGGAATTAGGCACTATTTTTTTTAAACTTATTGCTAATTTAAAAAAATTGTAAAAATTATTTTACTATAGTTTGAAAGACCCTTGTGTAATATTTCTTTTAACGATAAAAGACAATGACGTTGGTAAGTTTTTGCTGTTGAATTTTTACTTTATCGGTTATTTTGTTTCAGTTTCTTAAATGGTAAATCGATTTTAAGTCAGTTTAAGGTTTGATTTTTACGCGTTTCGGAATTCTTTTGCTTGAAGTGTTATGATGTAATGAGTTCTCCCAGAGATTATGTGGTGAGCACTCTATAAGTAAGGAGCCTTAATTAATGAGTTCTTACAATTTATCGAAACTAGGACAAAACCGGTTGACAACTGTGGTATTTGGTGGAGTAGGTTCTTTGTTTAATCTGAATTTTAAGGATATTACATCAAAGCTAAAAAAAATATTGAAATAAAAGACAATTCCCATCGAGAACGATTTTTTCATTTTTCAATTGTCGTTAATTACTTATCTTCATTCATATTATATTATCACATATTACATATACATATCTACTAATATTACATATCTACTTATGTGCCACATTCATATGCGATTTTAAAAGTGGTCTTCTGGAAAATTGTTTAGTGCAAATTTCACACTTAAATGATTTTTCATGCACTGAGATATGTTGTGTGAAATATCTCTTTGTAGAAAATTGTTGGGTGCAAATTTTACAATTTTGGTGCAATTTGCTAAAGACGTGCATCTCAGTATGTAATTCCATTTTCTATTATCACACAATCATTTTGTTTTTTGGGACTAATAGTGTATAATATAATGGAATAAAACTTAATATGTGTATAATTATAGAATGTGACTTATGCACATAAATTTCCCTTATCGGGAACAAG